AATGGAATCAGTATGGGTGTTCACTGCTATGTGCTTTCTGGTTCTGTTCGCATAGGTGGTGAATGAGCGTAGGTTTTTCCTAATGTTTGGGTGTTGCACTCAGAGATGGCTAGAGAATGTGGGAGACCTCGCACATTTTCTATTTAGTGGAAGATGGGACGAAGGTTTAGTTTGAGCATAGAGGAAAGTGTTCACTTTGTTTTTTCCCATTTCAGGTTTCTATTGCACAAAAGTAAGCAGGAGCTGATGTTTTCACCAGGTGGGAGATATTATTCCCCTGGGATTGGAAAACTCAGTGTGGATCTGCATTAAACTTTTCAAACAACCTAGTGTGGATTTAAACTCAGATTTGGGAATGTCACTTTTTTTTGTGGGGAGAGGAGGGTAACAGGAAGTCGTTTTACCAGTAGCCTGTTGGCGTGAATTAGATTGTTAGCCTCTCTAAGGCAGCACTAGAAGTGAGAATATTAACAATTTATAGATTCGATTTATAGGCTTTGTAGTTTTCAATAAATGACACACTGACTCATTAACAAGTACTCATTCTTTTTGTTTTCTTTTGAGGTAGGGTCTTGCTGGGTAGTGCAGGCTGGCCAAGAACTCACTTATATAGCTCAGGCTGGCCTCAAACTTACAGTGATCCTCCTGCTTCAGCCTCCTGAATGACAGGATTACAGGTGTGTGCCACCACACCAGGTTGGGATAAGAATATTTTGATTCCTCCTCTGATGACTTATTTGTTCAAAAATTTTAGGCCTTGGTAAGTTGAGTGCTGTTGGTTTTCTGAATGGACAGACCACCATCTTCTGCATTGCCTGAGTGGGTGTGTCACTTTTACAAAGTCTTTTTTCAGGATATGTGTTGGTCTTTTTTTCCCCCCTCTTCTAGGTTTCTGTTTTAAACCTTCTCTGAGGCTTGAAGAGACCCACCTGTTGCATGAAGGGTATATGAATGTTGCACGTGGAGTGGGGGTGGTAGAGAAAACTCATGGAAGTCTATACTGAAATGTGTCACTCAGTATGTGCATGATGCGAAGAAGATTGTGTGTCACTTGGCAGATCTCTGAGGGTAGGCAGCTCCATCTGGGATTATTTGGGGAAAAATCTGTGTGAAGGCTGGGACTCTGGGCCAGGCGGGCCTGGGTTTCTGGGTTGCAAATGGAGGCTGTACACCTGGTCCCAGGCAAAGCTGTCTGCATGTCATGGGAGCTCTGAGCACAGGCCTTATGTGTCTGTGTTTGTAAATGCTGTTCCTCCCCTTGTGTGATGCATGAATGAAGGAGCATTCCCTAGGGAGCAAGAGGAAGCTGCAACTCGGGTCTTATGAATTTTTGCCTTTCATTCACAGCTAAATGCTCTTAAATGTACAGGACCAGTCTAGTTTATGCATTAAAAATGACTACCACAATATTATTTTCTTTTACCTTGTGAAATACTCCTTTCTGCAGCATATAAACCCACACTGGCCTCTCCCAGCAGTCTGAAGCACTGTCCACAAGGCTCTTGTATGTGTGGCTGTTTTGCTTTAGCCTCAGTCTGATTCCTTCATGGTCCTCTCCCATGGAGGAAGAAGCCACAGAAGAAGGCTGGAGGGTGCTAGGCTGTTGCCTGAAGCACTGGCACCTTGGATGAACCCCCCTTTGCTACATGTGTAGTTACCTTTGGAGTTGGCCCAAATGGTGCCAGAGCAGCTCCAGACAGGAGTTGAAGGAACCACCCACCCAGCACCGTCCTCTTTCCCTGTCCAGCTGGCCTGTCCTTGTTCCCTGCAGGCCCGTTCTGAATGAGCCATGATGTCTGCAAAGGCCCTTGCTCTTGAACACCTCCTTCTCAGAGCAGTCTGGGGAGGAAACCCTCTTTGTGCATCTTGCATAGAGCATGGTTTGGTTCCCCTTTCCCTTCCTACCCTGTCTCCTTTTTGGGTGTGCCTTGGATCTTTAACAAGTCATGATTCAGAAACCTGTGGCTTAACTTATTTATCTTTCATTCAATAACGCTTCTTAAGTGCCTCCCGGACGGCAGTGCTGGATACAGCAGTGTACAAGGCACTATTTTTGCCCTTCATGTGCCTTCATGCAGTAGAGGTGCAAGAAATGGATGGCAATTGCAGGACAGTGAGATGAGGAACAACAGAGCTTGCCCTCTGTTGGGCAGGGGTGCTTCCACTGGCACTAGCTCTGCCTTGGAAGTCAGGGAGCCTTCTTGGAGGAGTTGGTGATTGCATGTGAGGTGGGGAGCAGGTGACAGATTGTTTTCCAGCAAGGGGGAATGGCATATTTTGTAAAAACATAAGAATATAGTTGCTTCACATGTGAAACCTGATGGCAAATGGTGCTCGTGTTTGTCTTTGTATGAGAGGGGGTGGGGAGGAGGAGGGTTCTCAGTCAGAGAGGGCGGGAAGGGAGCCAGGGAAAGGTACTGAGAGCTGAGCTTTGAAACAGGCTTGTCAGGATTCTGATGCGGAGTTAGAATAGGGGGAGTTTAGTTGAAATGTGAGTTGGGTGTCTTTCTTTTCCTATCTTTCCATTTTTCTCTCCCCTTTTTTCCCCTTCTAACCACATCCTGCCTACAACTACATGTCAGGGAACTGGTTGCCATGGCTACTAAATGGCACTCAAGCAGGCTGAATTATTAAACCAGGGTCTTTTCTTTGAAGTCATGGCCCTAATACAGAAGTCCCCAAAACCTCTTATGGGGTACAGTATCGGGCATAGCTCTGAGCCTGGATGCGCCTGTGCTGTTGGGCTAAAGGCTGGGAGAAGAGGAGGCATCTGGGCACTGGGCCCTTTCCTATGTGGAGACCTGGGGTCAGGTGCATCTGCTGGAGCTTACAGAGAAGGCCCTGTGTGCTGAGATGAATCCCTATTTCTAAGCCTTTTTCTCCTCCCCTGCCTAGACCACAGCCAGCACTCATTCAAATGGGAGAAGAACCAACACCAATATTTTGCTCATGTTGGAAAAGGTACCATATTATTCAAATTGTTCAAATCCCTTAGCCAGAGAGGCAAGAAATAAGATGACAGATGTGTCCAAGTAATCATACTTGGCTCCCTGGGATTATGTCACCTCCTTGCACAGGTAAAGGGCATCTCACGGAACCAGCTAGCTGGTGCACATTGTGCTCTCCCACAGTAGGAAAGGGCTGTCAAGAAAAGTCCCTTTTCCGTGCACAGTTATTGTTTATTTTGATGAAAGAAGGGGCAAGCATGGATGCTCTTCCTTTAAGGACATGCCAAGCCAGGAAAACCATCAGCCTTCTAGAGCGCTAGTTCTTTAAACTTTTCATGAAAGAAGCAGCAGCTCAAACACTGCAGTGTGAATGCAGAAGGGCCTCACTGCTGGTAACCTCGCTGTCTGTGCGTGTGTGTGTGAGGGTGATGGTGGGGTATGAAGAGTTTATTTTGGGGTTAATGGAGTCATTTTCTTTCCTACAGACCCCAAAAGAGCCCTAGGTTAATTTCCTAAAGCTGGAAGGTCTCACTCTCCTCCCTGGCTCCATACTGCTTATCCTTTGAGTGAGGGGCTGCAGATACTGAAGGCCCAGGATTCTAACCTCCCCGCATGCAGGGTGCAAGGTCACTTCTGTACGAGTAGCTCCTGTGGCTTGAACATACACACACACGCACACACACACACACACACACACACACACACACAGATCTTCGGGTCAGGGAGAACAGACCTACAAGACTTTCCAGAACCTGTGAGCCTCTGAAAAACTGATGCGTAGCCCTGGTTTTTCCATAAGGCCCAGCTGCACTCTTTTATATTTGTTTAATGTACGGGTAACAGCTCAGCTTACTGGGAATCTGACTCACAGAGGTGAAATCAACTTAGTGTCAAGGCTTGGCAAGAAGTTTAGGATTTGCCAGACCTGGGACTGTGGTGGTCCTGGTCCTTCACAGGTGACTCTTCCAGCCAGACCCTCTGGAGATGAATTTGCCAAGCAGACTCTGTAGCACTTGACCTTCGCTTCTCTTTCTGCCCAACTGAAACAAAAGGTGAGAGGAGCTGTGGTTGGCCTCATGGTTTATTTTGTTCCCCTCAGTGCGCATGGCCCGACTCTGCCATGTGCCAGGCCTAAGGCACTCAAGGTGCAGGGGCTGCAAAGTGGCTAGAGACTGTACATGCTCTCTGCTATGGGAGCCTCAGGGCAAGTAGAAAAGGCCAACTGTCTTCTTTCAACTTTGGGAACCTCCAAATGAAGCCTTCAGAGGCCTCCTCTGGTCCAGGTCAAGGTTGAGGAGTAAGAAGGAGGAGGAGAGGGGACGGTTACTTCTTTGTTGTGCCTTCAGGACCCTGCTGAGACGTGCAGAACAGGGCTGATGGGAGGGAGGCTTGCCTGTAGTACGCTGAAAGTCATTTCTGTTTTCTTGGGGGAAAGACATGCAGAAATCTAAATACACGGGGGACAAGTTACCCTAGAGATTCAGGTCTCGGAACCCTTGGAAATACCACTGCGTCTCTGTTTTTCAAGCCGTTTGTTTTTTGTGTTCTTCAACTGCCTACCTAGTCTTTAGCTCTCCTTTCCAGTCCTTAGCTGGACCCTGGACTCTCAAAAATCCTCCAGCTCTGTCCAGAGGGAACAGAAGCTCCTCCGCTGGCCGGAGGCCCCTCTCGGTGGGCGGCATCTGGTTTGGGTACCGGTGGTGCACCCTTGCCCCGCGCCCTTAACCTGATCCACGAAGCCCCCCAAGCCGCGTCTGTTTCTCCTAAGAGACACTTAGTCGTGAGTGCCCTTCTGAGCACGGCTTCCCTGCCGGGAGAGGCAAGCGGCCAGGACCCTGGAGAGGTCCACGGGCGGCGGGAGAAGGGGCCTCCCTGCCCGCACACCCGGATCCGCACTCCAGTGGAAATCCCTCGCGGAAGTTTGAGGTCACTGAACTTTTCCCCGGAATCCCTGACCTAAATTTCTGGGCCGCGGCTGCTGACTGCACAGACGCCCGCCCCAGGAAGCCAAGCCGGCCGCCCGCCCCGCCGCTGCGCGCGCTCCCGCGGGCCTTCCGTTCCGTCCGTCCGCGTCTCGCCGCCTCCCGCCCGCTCGCTGCCGCCTGCAGGCGCTGCCGGTGCCTGGACAGCGAGTCTGCTCTGTTTGGAGACCGCTCGCGCCTTCCCTTCTCTCTTGTTTGTCCCAGGCTGCCCGCTCTGGGGGGCATGAGTACGAGTTCTCTTGCTGATTGCCAGAAATTTCTTTTCTGCCGTGTGGGCAGCAGACAGATCCCCACCCCACCCAACTGTCTCCCATCTCATTTATTTATTTTGCTTTCCGTTTCTCTCCCTCACCTCCGCTGCTTTCCTCCCCCTTCTTTCTGTGGATTGCCCCCCCTCCCCCCGCTCCATCTCACCATCCCCCACCTGTGGCCCCCTTCCCCCGCCTTTTGCTCTTTTAAGAACGATTCAGTGATGTCTCGGGGATACTAGCATACTCTCCTCCTTCAGCTGAGAGCGGGACTCTGCATTCATTCAAGGTAAGTCCCGGGGTCTTGGTGCCCAGGGGACTGGGGCTCCAGCCTGGTGCTGCTACCTGTTGGGGTGCACGGACCTCGGAGATTCCTAGCTGACCCAGACATTTCTCCTAAGCCTGTTCTTCCTCTGCAAGCGCTGCCCTTTCCTTTGCAACTTCTATGGCAATTGCCTGGGCCCGGGGAAGCGCCGTTTGGATATTCCGGGGCTCCGAAGGGTGGCATCTGGCTGGTGATTGTACATTTCTCACCCTGCAGCGAGGGAGGCTCGCGCAACCTTGGGAGCCCGGCTTAGAGCAGGTGGGGGCTTTCTTGAACCTCCCTGCAGGCTTGGCCAGTGCCCCGCATGCACAGGGAAGTTTTGTGGGGCACCCCTCAAGGGAAGGACGCAGTGAGCAGGAGCTGCACTTCCAGAGAAGTTTTGTGACCGAACCTGTGTGCGCCTTTGGAGGCTCTAGGGTCTCACAGAGGGTGGCCTGGGTTTCTCTGGCGCAGCTAGTGGAGCAGGTTGAAGGGTCTTTTCCTGAAAGGACTGGCAATTGTGACTTAGAGCAGAGAGGGAAAGAGAATACCAACAGGGAACCCGGCCACTTAGGTGATGTTTGATCAAGGTTAGGTCTCCCTGCGAGGGCACTTGCTGATCCTCGGTAGGCAGGGGTATCCAGTTCCGCGGTCTTGTTGCTCCTGCAGGTGCCCTAGAGAGAATAATGGCAGACGCCACTCTCCTCCCTCACCCCACCCTTTCCCTGAGACTGCTGAGGTCGAGGCAACCTCCTCAGGATGGGGACCTGGGTGTGCGTTTGGCCGTTGACCGAGGTGTGTTTGTGGGAGTCCTCTTCCTGCCAGGCTGGACTGTGAGCCTGCAGAGCGGGTGGTTCAGGCTGAACGAGAGAGTGGGTGACCTGGATCTGGGCTTATCAGGATTCATTCATACTCTTCCTCTTGGAGGTCAGAGTGTTGGGACAGTGACCCTTACTTATTCTTGGTGGTTGAGGATCACATTGTATCATAGAGACAGCATCTGCAGAAGAAAGGCCAGGAGCCAGGATAGCTTAAACAGGAGAGGAAGCTGTGAGACCTGAACTCAAGAAGTGTTTTCATGAAAGAAGAGTATTTCTGCTGCTAAAATAAAAGCACTGATTTATTTCCACTGATACCAGAACCAGAAAAGGGGGGCTTCCTCTACTTGGGTGGGAACTGGAATGAACATGGGAGAAAAACTTCCCATTGGAATTACTGATGGAAAATACAGAACTTCCTCTCCAGCAAATGTGTAAGGCTTTGTAAGATTGTATAGTTATCTCTAGGCCAGAAGAAAGTGGCCTTTTCTGGTTTGATTCCACCTTCTGTTCTCTCACCTGCTAAGTCTTGGGACAGGTGAGACTTTTTTTTTTACCACTCTAATATAAGGTAATTGTATCATTTATTATCCAAACTGGGACACTTTTCAGAGTGGACATATATCACACAATAGAGACCAAATAGGGACAAAAATCATGAGGGACAATAGGGACAAAAATCATGAGGCAACACACTTTGCTCTAATGTCATTTGGATTTTGCTTCTTTTCTCCTAAAATTGTTCTTCTTGACTTTGATTTCAAAAGGAGTTTTTATTTCACTTGTTTCTGAAAGTATACTTTTAAAATACGAATTTTTTTCTTTTGATAAATTCTCTCCTCAATTCCACTAGTCTCCTGAAATGCCCATTTCCAGAGTGAAGTTTCATCCTAGGTGGGGTTCACAAATTAGGAGTGATTTACATGGAGTTGTTGCCATCCCTGCTCCTTCTGTTGTGGTGTTTATGAGCCCAGAGCTCCCCAGCTGTCCTTCTGCCAGGATTTGTGAGTGCTGTGTTGATGGCAGCACAATACACCCTAATAGTCACAAAGTTGAGATATTGGATCAGAGCTGTCATAGCTACTCCAGTCCTCAGAGGCTGGGGGCAGGGGGGGTATCTATTGAGCTTGAGAGAGGGGAGAGGAGAGGAAAGAAATTCTACATATTGCCTGGATTTCAGACAGAGAAATTGATGTTCAAGAAGCATCCTTTTGCAGGAAAATTCCTGGCTTTAACTTTGTTGCTGTGTGAAGGAGCACTGAAGCTTCTTGGGAACATGTCAGTCACACACCTGCACCTCCAGGCAGCCTGTGAGTTGGCAAGACAGACAAATTCCTGCAGAATTTCAGGAAGTTTGGCTACCATTTGTTTGTGCTTAGCATTTGCCAGATTCCATACCAAGTAGTTTCCAGATATTACCATCATGCGTGCTTGTCTGATCCTGTTAAGTAGGTACCCCATTTTATAACTAGGAAGCTGAAGCTCAGAAAGTTAAGCACTTTGTCTAAATTCACCATTATTCTAGGAGGTAGAGCTGAGATTCAGTCTGGGGCCAGCTGATCCCCTCCACAGAAGGCTGGCTCTGTGTGATATGGTTGATGAGGCTCAGTGTTTGGCTCTTAGACTTAGTCCTCACTGTTCAGAATTCTGGGCTGGTTCCAGCATGACGTGGATGGAGCAGTTGACTTGTCTACCCTGCCTGGATGTTGATTCATGTCACCTCTGTCTTTCCTACCATCAGTATCCTTGTTCAGTGCGTGGTTTGTGTTCCCCATCACCCACCTGGTCACTGGACCATCACTGCAGTGATTGTTGTATGGGATCCCTATCTGGTGTGCTCATAAACGCTAGCTGGAGTGATAGCATCTAATGGAAAGGCAGAATATGTGTGTCTGTCTACCACTTAGTTATTGAAACCTGAGTTTTAGGATTACAGTAAGTTGTCTTCAGTTTACTCTGTGACTGATGAAGACCTACACTTAGAAAAGGTTACCTCACACTTTGATTTCCTTGGAAATAATTCTGAAAAATAGCAAGGAAATCTGACCATCCAAGCTGATAGATCCCCGGGTCCTGTCTCCATCATGAAGGCAAAAATACAGCCTTAAGCAGAAAAATCTTGGACGTTATTTCCTGTTATTCATCCTTTTTTATGTTCCATATTGCCATCATTTGCTGACCAAGAAGAACATGCTGGGTATTCAGCCTGGAATGAAATAGATGAAAAAGCATTAGCCATGAAGACTTCATTTCTACTGTGACTCAGCCCCACTAAGTAGCCACGTGGAATTGGAAAAGTCATTTGCCTACATGGACCTCATCTAATGGGTCCCCAGATAAAGGCTAGACAGATGTTGCAGGTGCTTCTCAGTTCTAGTAGTCTTAGATCCCTTAATTTGGGGTAGCTTTGTTTTCTGTGCTCTCAAATCCTAGGCAGAGCCATTCCTAACCCTAATGCTAACCCCTCTGTCAGTTAGGATGGCGGGCAGATGGTCGTATGGGTAGGAGTCCGATGGAGTGGCCGAGGAAAAGCCATGCTAGGAGGGGCAGTGATTTCCTCTGGTCTCCTGTGAGCAGGCCTCAGGCAAGACAGGGTTGGGACTTGGAACTGAAGTGATTGAAGCTGTAGAGCAGAATGGGTCCCCATCAAGGAAACACCTTCCCATTCGCATCTATATAGCATAACTTTGAAAGATTCATTCTCTGAAATTCTAGGACATTTAAAACTACATTGGCTACACTAGAAAAAAAATTCACCTATAAACACCAGTCTAGGATTGGGGTAAGCAAAGAATGCTCCAGATTCTTGAGGGAGGACTAGTGATAGCTGCAGTGGCTGAATGAGTGTTGGAGAGAACATGCAGCCTGTGGTGGAGGAATTCACCTGTGCCTGGCTTTTTAAAACATAATAATGCTGGCATGGATAATAATGTGGTCTGGGCCTAAGCTGATGGACTTACCTTTTAATGGTAGACCTGCCACTGTCATTTCCAAAATATTAAAGTAGTTCTGTGTGTCTTCCTGTCCTGTAGAGGATATCTGTATTTGTGTCCCTCTTATGCTTGTTTTGGAGTTTCCTTTGCTTGTCTTGAATCAAATGGGTACCTAAACTTTTGCTAAGAGGAATGGAAAAACAGTGATGAAGAGGATATGGTTCTTACTCCTGAGTGATTGGTTTCTAAGCACAGTGTGATTTTTATTTTTACCAAATTATGTGTTCCCCGGCCATGATGGAGTGGATCTGGTCTAACTCTCAATGATTTAGGCCAACAGTAAAATCTCTCATCCCTCCCACGTGTCGGTTTACAGGCATAGCTTCAGAAAAGGGGATCTAAAGCCAGTGACTTCCTGTCCCTTTCTCTATTAACATCAAGGACTGGTTTATGAGTTTGTCTCTTTTCTTTTCTCTATCCTCTTTTCTTTGTGTCTCCCTCTTACCTTTGACTAGTCATATAATAGAATTTTTTGTTTGCTAAATTTGCTGAATAGAAATTTTCATTCTTTGTTCTTAATTTTGAAAGAGTTGAAGAACGCTTAACATTTCTGTTTCTTAAAAGGAAAGTAAATTGAGTTACTCTTGACTTCTGCAGTCCTTGATTGATGTTTTCTGGAGTGTAATGATCTTAAATAGAGCAAAAGTTCTACCCTTCCCTTAGTGAAGGGATTCATGACAGGCGAGTACATATCCAGATTCCAGCTTCTCTTTTTGTTGGTGTCAGGCTCAAGGTTAATGAGCTGTTCAGAGCTGAAGTCCTAGGTGCATTCACCTCTGTCTCCAGACAAGAGTGTCAGTGCACCAAACTCAGAACCTGAATGCTGGCTCAGATCAGCCCCTGAGGTGTGGGGAGAGGAAAGGGTTGGGGGAAGGGAGCCTCAGATATGTGTCTCGGTTTATCACTTGGTAGAAACATCTTTTAGCTTTTGCCTACTTATTCCTTTTCCTCTCCCTCTCTCTTCCCTTTTTCCTTCTCTGTCTCCCTCCTTCCCTTTCTCATTTTCTACTTTACTTCTTCTGACATTGTATCTTGGGTCCTGCTCTGGGCTGAGTTCTGATGTGGTACTGGGAATATAGCCTTGAACAAGGCAGCTAAATATTCTACTTTTGTGAAAAAGGATCTTTGATATTTTATTGCAGGGAAACAGATACGAGTGTATGAGTAAATTTGT